CCAGTTTCCCTCAAGTCCTCACTTTTTCAGACCCATTCATACTGCCGATGGACCGTTTCAGAGCTGGTAATTCCAAGAGACCTCATTTAAAACTGTGGCTCACGTCTGTAATCCTAGCGGCCCAGGAGGTTGAGATCTGAGGTTTGCGGGTTCGAAACCAGCCTGGGCAGAAATGTCCATGAGATCCTTCCATAAACCACCAGAAAGCCGGAAGCGGAGCTAAGGCTCAGGGGGTTGAATGCTAGCCTTGGACACACCAGTTCGGCGGCCCAGGCCCTGAGTTCAAGTCCCAGGACTTGCCACAAAGCAAACACAACTCCACAAGACCCCTCATTTACTCCTTCCCCCGCGCCTCGGCCCTAGGTGCACCTCTCCATATCCCGGCTCAATCAAGCAGGGAGTGCCAGAGGAAGATTCCCCCCCCCCCCCCTCTGGATGGGAAGCAGCCTCTGGCTGGAGGGACCTGAGTTGCAACATCTGGGGATTTTGCATGCCCCATTCCCAGATCCAGTGTGTCAGTAAATGCCAAGACCAACAGCCTTTTCCGTGTTTATCCGTTACTCCTGGCTGGGGTCCGGGGGTTAATCACCTTTTAACACCGCGCTTGGAAAGCTGTGCAGATCGACATTCCTCAGGTAATCTTACAGCCCGTGGGAGACTGATTTTACCATCGACTGACACCTGGTGGTGGAAGAGGAATCTTGCACCTTTTAAGTGAAAACCAGGAAAGAATTCATTTCAAAGTTTTTTTGGGGAAAATCAAGCTCCGTGCTTGTTCATGGATGATCAAGAAAAAAGGCCAGTTGGTCAGTGTGTATGCACACTGTGAGTTTGACAAATGACCAAAGCAATAGGCCATTGTTATGATTTGCTCTTTCTTCATACTTGTTTCCATAGCCACAGGACAAACAACATATCGTGGTAATGGAGATTGACTAGGTTTGGAATGCTAAATTGCTTTTTCCTTTTCTAATTAAAAGGTTTATAATTAAGTCAAATCCTTTTAGTTTTCAATTAGATTTTAGTAATCTTATTCCTGCACTTCTGGTGAATATAGTATTCTCTAGATAGAGTAAAATTATATTAAAGGATTTCTATGAGCAGTCAGGAGTTAACATCACAGATGAAGCATCTGCAGCTTTTATGTGTGAAAGCTTTTGCATAGTAAATCTTTTGCATAATTTCATATGGGATGGAGAATATAATATATGAAATACTATATATATATATATATATCTCAAAATTCTCCATGTCAGATTCTTTGGTACATACTTTTCAAAACTAGGCTGCCTGTGGAGAGCAATGTTAGGCATTGCAAATGTTGAGACGCTGATTGCTAGTTTCACTATGACTCATAAGAACTAGAAGTCTTAAATAGGGATTGAACTATGAGTTACACACCCATTTAGATCTTCCAGAGTGTTTTGTAATAAACTTAAATTATAGCACATCAACAAAACTGTCCTACAGTACTATTTGAAGTTCCTACCTCTATAGACTACATTATAACTTGTGGAGAAAATAGAATATTTTAGAATCAATGAGTATTTACCTGAACATTTAAGTAGCCATATCTTAGAATCTTGTGGGGCTATCACTTTAGAAGTACAAGGATTATTGTGGTGTGAATGGTGAAATAAAAAGATCACAGTACTCAAGATAATTGTAGAGAGGAGAGGGTAGATTTGATGAGTGTAGGTTATACATATGTGTTGAAATAGCATGCTGACCCCTGTGAATATGAACAATTGGTATACATTTAATAAAAAAGTAACAAATAAAAACAACTAATCATTAGGCACTAAGTTGTAAGTGTATGATATAAATTATAGCTTTTTCCTTTGGAAATTTTACCAGCACCTCTGGGGATAGCAATTCAAATCATGTTTGACATTTTCAAGTCTGCCTTTTATTGTGTAAGAATAATCATGCTTTTATTTTAGGATGAGGTGGAAGTTAGTAAAAGTTGAAAGAGAAATATTTTGTTAAATTATCTATTTTGTACAGACAATAAAATCTCACTGGCTAAAATTGCTAATCCTGACAGCTTTATATGATATAGTCTCTTCAATAGTTCAAGGTCTATTAGTATACTGGTAGAGTTGTCTTCAAAATATATTGTCAGTTTATTTCCACTCTCTGTGTATAAATGGTTTGGAGTAGAGAGAAGGTTTACCTTTGAGTCTGGAGGCAAGAGAGAGGGAGAGAGAGGGAGAAAGTGAGTGAGAGAGAGATAGAGAGAGGAAGAGAGAGAGAGGTAGAGACAGAGGAAAATGAAGAAAAAGTAAAAGAAGACGAGAAGGTGGAAGAGGAGAGAGGAGAGAAAGAGGATAGGGAGGAGGGAAGAGAGACAGAGCATTTGTTTTGATCAAATTTTAATCTCTTTGCTAGCTTTATTATAAAGTAATTTTTGGGAAGTTCTCCAAAAACTCTTTGAAATGTGGCTTTATATCAAGCATAGTGAGAAAAATCCTACTTTGTTATCTTGAGATATTAGCTGATGATGGTTCATGTACGTATGTGTGTATGTATGTATGTATGTATGTATGTGTGTATGTATTGATGAGGTTGGAGGTGTGGCTCAGGTGGCACAGTGCTAGCCATGAGCAAAAGTTCCAGATATCAAGTTTAAGTCTCATTTCTAGGACATGTGATCCAAAATTAGAAAGATTTTGGTTGTAGGGAAAGAGAACGTGGAAAGGTTCAGTAGAGGAATTGCTTCCTCTATCCTGCTTTCCTGTACTCAGACTTCTCTGATAGACTGTAGTCTGTAGGAGGCAGGCCAGGGGCCATTTCATTCCATTTTTCTCTAAATAAAGAACATACAATGTCATAAGAAGTTGGTAATACTGAATAAATGTGCTTTGAGAATTTCAAGGAGGAGCCAGTGGCCAATAGGATCATTCTGTATTAAAAGATCGAGTAAAATAGAAAATACAAAAGAATCTGTTGGGTCTAAAATTTGAGTACTCTATTCACTGAAGAGAGCAATTACTATGAGCGGAAGTTAGATTGTAGTCCGCTATGGAAGAAATGGGAGGAAAGATTAAAGGTAACTATGGATTTCCAGTAAAGTGGGATAAGAAATGAAGAAGGCAGTTGGGGTAGCCATCGAAAAGCAGCCAAGAAACACATAATGTAGAGAGATTTAAGGTGGATGAAAGAAGTACAAGTGGTAAAACTAAGAACTGGAGCAGAGTGAACAAAGAGGAAATACAGAACATGGTGGAAAGGTTCTCTTTGAACAGGAGCAGAGACACTGCTTTCTCATAGAAGAAAGGAAAACATAGATGGAGGTTTGCACAATTTTTTGAGGGCATGCTGAAGGCTGATAAGTACGTTCACAACTGCTGGGGGTGAAGTCCAGCTGACAGAAATGGGTGCGTGTATTTGGAAGCTGCAAAAATGGTGGCAATGTTGCCTGACTTTTAAGTTTACAGTGTTTATTTGGATGAAATGGGGAGCTGAGACATGCAGATATATGGATTCACTGGAAAGAAATGTGCAGTCAGTTAGAACCAACCATTAGCTCATAGGATGAAAACTATGAAGGTGGTGGAATAATTTGGAATTTATCTGGTTAGGAATAGCATAATGGAGGACTGAATGTTTTGAACTTAGTCTTAGAAAAGTGAGAGATAGTTTTCATTGGGGAGAAGAAAAGGAAATGGTTTTGTGTTTTCAAGACCAAAAGTTTTATACAGAGATTAAATTTTCCTTTGTTTTAACAGCATGTCTGTATCCAGGAGTTAGCTTTATAAACAGCTACCAGTGGTTGTGATTCTCTCATACATCTCAAAGACCTTCCCAGGTGAGCACCTGTGGGTTAGCTATCTCCCTAGCTCTAGATGGCAGCAGAGAGCATGATATACAGTAGTGAGGACTCAAAATATTTACTAAATTGAGTTCTCTGACTCAGTCCTTTCTGCAGGCTTTGCTTCTTTATTCCTGTTAGGTGCCTTCAGTGCCAGTGTTCTGTCTACCTCATGTGTACACATTTCTATTAAAGCTCTTTTCTGGTTCTGTTCTAATCAGTCACTCGACATGCCTGTCTCCTGTGGATTGGCAGCTGCATAAGCCATAAGAATCCACTGGGAGAATCATTCGTTATATGAATTAAGAAACAAAGCCTGGAGGTAGATGTATGGGAAAAGAGCGAAATTTGTGCACTTTTGTCTGAGATGGAAGTGGGTCCTTCTACTTACTTATGGAGGAAACCATCTAAGATGTCCCACCTTCTGTGGAGCGGTTTGGTGGTGTGGTGGGCTGCTATGTAGCCACAAGGTGGCTCCAAAGACTTTTGCTGTAAAAGTCACTGTTGTCTGGCCCCTGCTGCTGCTTTCACTTTACCAGTTTCTCAGATTTATTGCAAATAGATAAAGATGATATTCCTTGTAGTTGGGTTGCTATTATGGTCTTTAAGAATAATCCAAGATCAGAGTAAGCATTAGGCTATTTCTACTTGTCTATCTGTCTGTCTCTGTCTTCTTTTACCTATATAATATGTGTATGTTTGCATAATTATGTATGTATGTTTACATAATAATTATCTATTGTTATCTAGATCTACATTTCTATATTTAATTGAAGGCCTACCAGTTGAAATAAGTTGTCTTATTTAATTAAAAAAAAACTCCTGGAAATAGCTGCCTTCATCATTTTACTATTGAACACATGGAGACTTAGAGTAAATAGCCTGATCAAGGATACAAAGCTATCTTACTCTTTCC